TTGGACATCTCAAAATACAATACCTCAATAAGTGTCTTCGATTGACATTTTCACTTAGTATTTCCACGCTTTTGTCTAAGCTAGAGTCTGAACAGGGCGGCACGTTTGTTCACATTGATCTCCTTGAAACATCCCATTTTGCCAGGAGAAAATCCCTAGGGAAAGAAGGAAATAAGTGTGTGTGTGTGTGTGTGTGTGTGTGTGTGTGTGCAGAATCAGCTTCCAAAGCTAAAGCTACCCTCTGCCATGCTTTTCTTGTGGATAACTTGAGGTTCCTACCCTCTGAAAAAAATTATTGCAGAAAAGTCTTTCATATAAACTTAGTATTTAATGAAAAAGACACCCAAACCTGTTATTTCAAAATTGGTTCTGAGGAGTAGTCAAGTTTGACCATGCATGTCCTGGGATTAAAAACTACTTAAGAGAGTTCTTCTCATATTTCTGATCCATTTCTAACTGCATTCAGAGGAACATTAAAAGATTTCCTTCAGAAGGACAGCATTTAGCCCCAGGAAACCAAAGGGAACTGAAGATACACTTTTTAATGCCTGTTGATCTTATTCACATGGGTATTTCTGCAAGGAGGAGGAGTACTATGTTAAAGGATTTTACCAGACCGTGGGTATCTCTAGGCTTGCTTTATTAACAACTCACAGTTGGGCCATCACCTCAGCAAGTGGCAACAGCTAACAGGAAGTATCTTATCTTTATATGATTCTTCATAACATGGAGTACAATACGAATTCATCATCAATTTCCAAAGCCCATTATATTCCACAGTTCCAACTAGTTCTTCCCGTTCCGCTCCAGTTCCTCTTCTGACACCACTGCTCACTGATGCAGTCTTTGGTCATCATGGTTACTTATCTTCAGCACTGTTCCTAGAGCACCCGTGCATACTGCACTGAACAGTTAGTATGGTTCCTAGAGCACCTGTGCTGTATAAAACTACATTTATTAATATTTCTGCTATTACTAATATCCTAAGAGAAAATAGTTTTCTAAAGCTTATTCCTTTTGCATACTATTTGCTTTTACCCTGAGAGCACCTCTCTTCCTGCTGTTCTCCAGGCTGGATTCACAAAGACAAGTCAGGACTCAGCCTGGAAAAGAGAGTTTCCACTTTGTCCAGACAAAAAGGGGAACTTTGCAGCACACTGCCCTCAATACAGGTCACAACACAACAAGCTGGCTCAGCCTGGCAAATTACACCAGGGTTAGAGACCTGCAGATACGCAGCATCCAAAGGGACAGGAGCCACTTCGGATCTGCCATGGAACTTTTTGGGACTGGAAACCTGGGAGAGGATAAACCCCTCAGATGCTGGCTTACCTTAGACCTCCTGCTCTATGCTCTTTACTCGCTACAAATGAAGGAAGCTGAGTAACTAGAGATAAATTGCTTGCTGATATCAGAAAAACTGCAAAAGCTGCACATCAACAAGTTAGAAAAGAGGCATTACGACGTGAACATGTAGGTAGCACCAGCATTATCATCTCTCTCATCCAGGACACTTCCCCATTGTCTCTGCAGCTAAAACACTCCAGCAGAGTCCAGCCACCCTACAAATATGAGGTAAGAATAACTCCAGTCCTCAAAGCATGGGAAAGGTCTGCAAAAAGCAAACAAAAACAAAACAAAACAAAACAAAAAAAAGAAAAAAAAAAGGAAGAAACCAAAAGAACCGGCTTACAGCCAGTTTCATAATGACGATTCTGTTTTAGTTTCTATGAAAAGTTCCCATTTAGCTTCCTCCTTCCTGTTCTCCATGCTGACAACGTGTGCCAGCTGCTTTACCTGCCTAACTTTGCACAGCCTTCCCCCACATGCACTGAGCAGAATTCCCTGGAGCCTCTGACAACCATAGACTGCAAAAGCAGAGCAGTGATCATCAAGCAGAATCCCATGGCTGTTAGCAAAGACAAAACCAAACATACCCGCCAAGGATGCCTTCCTTATTAGTTCATTAGTCTTGAATATAATGGAAAAAAGAAAAAGAAAAAAACAACAGACTCTATACAACTGAAAAACCTGAAAGAGTTCTGCTGCAAGGAAACAGAGTCCACTACAAGCATCAAACTGAGGCAGGGCTTCCCGGAAGAGCAGACCACTTCTGAGTTGAAGCTGGTCTGCCTTTATTTCTCATGGAATTGCAAGACACCCTGCCAAGGAGAGCCTGACTTGCAAAGCCCAGAGAAGAGTTTTAGTTTTTGAAGGCTACATTAAAAACAATGAACTCCTCCTTCCTCCAAGTGAAATGGTTTCCTTCTTAAAGTAGCCACACTGAGATGCAGAGAGCATGGATTACCTAGCATCCTTTAAAATCACAGACACTGTCTCTTTTCTAGATGAAAAATTATAAATACAAAACATACAGTACCATTAAAATTACAGATTAGCAAAAGCTTAAGTAAAGTCTTCATCATTTTAGGTTACAGACAGAAGCACAAATCAGTCCCGATTTCTAAACGCAGCTTTGTTTTTCAAGCAGCAAAAGCAGTACCTATATACGCACGACCAAGAGCATTTCACAGGCACTTCAGGCCAGCTAGAATGCCGTTACAGGTCACGCATGTTTTGGGTCAGGCGCTGGTTTTGATGCATTTTTGTCATCAAAACAGCAAGTGCTCTGTAAGCATTGCCACAATTAAAGCAAAGGGGGCTCCAAGACCTTTTCACAAGATCTCTTTACTTGAGAGAACAACTTTAATCAAAACCATACGGGGACACGAGAAGTCTCTATCCACAGGGCAGCAGAGGACTCGGGGCCTGTGCCGAGGCCCCCATTCGCTGCAGGGCGACCAGAAATGGCTGCCGGGGCTGTGGCGGGGGACGGAGAAGGGGACCCGCCCGGCCGCAGTCCCAGAAGCTTCTTCGCACGCAGGCACGCAGCCGACCGCATCTGCAGACGCTTATCCGAAACGCGAGTTTTTTTCCCCGTTTTCTCCTCCATGTGACAGCGACCTCCGGTGCCTTTGCGCGTGGACTCGGCTCTCCCCGCTCCTCCCACTGGCCCTTGAAGGCTCCCAGTGGGCACCAGCCTCGTGCCCCCAGCGACGGCTCCCCTGCCACGCAGCCACCGGGCACCTGCCCAGCCCCTGCCCTGCTGGGCCGAGGCCCGTCTCCCCGCGGAGCCAGAGCCTCACCCCGCCGCGCCCCGCCCCAGGGAGTCAGACAGTGACTGCTGTCGCCCTCAGCCTCACCCATAGCCTGTAAAAGTGCTTCTAACAGTGGACACTGAAAGGCCACAGTCCTGGAGAAGTAATGGCGAGAACACCAACCTGTTATTGAATAAGGTCTTTGGGGGTTTTGCTAAAGAAAGCTGAGGGCTTCCTCCAGTGAGAAATGAAGGGAAGCCCGAGAGAAGTGAAATCCACTGTGAAACATGTTGCGTGTTCTTGAATGTGAATAGTTAGCACAGCCTTTGCACACACACCAGCGTATCCCCTTCTAGGCATCACAGTCGCTTAGTGGATAGCTTTATGCTCATTCCAGACTACCGCTACAGACTCCATCTCCCTTCAGGATTCCCCTTCCCTTGGAAAGATGGTACAAAAGGTGACACGGTGCCAAGGCCCTGCTACCTGCTTGTCTCTGTCCAAGGCACCTGCTGTGAGATCTGCTGCCACAGATGAAAACATACTTGGTACACCGGCTTTCTCTGTTCTCCTCCCAAGACCTTTGCCTTGAAGAAATGTCTTGCAGGCATGGGGAACAGGCTCCCTGCATGCCCCATTCAGGAGAGGCTATGGAGATCTGAGGATTTTTTCTTAGTTTGCTTGCCTTCTGGTGGTTGTGGCAAAGAAGACAGTCTGAAAAATGAACAGCAGCTGTGCCCTTGTTCACCTTATGAAACTGTCTGCCAGCTCTTTCGCAGGTTATACACCCGGATTCATAGCTCCTTCCGTACCTTTCCTCGCAAATGGCGCTACAAAGCTACCAACCCAATGCAGACCAGGAAGACAAATGCATGGCAGTGTGGTTTAGCTTGCAGATTCCCCATTACTGGTGGTAGGAGAGTAGGACTCTCTGAACAGGGGACGGCATGGTGCCAATCTAGCTGCTGCTTCTCAACACACATCTTTACAAGCACAACGCAAAAGAGGAGCCAAGCTTGCAAAGAGTTGGCGCAGAGGTTCAGAGACACACGTATGAATGGCAAGGAGAACACATGGTAAATTACTCTTCATCCCACTTTTCTCCCCTCAAGAATCTGGTTACAGCCAGAATCACTTGGATTCTGTTGGAGCTGGTGTCTTTCAAGTATCTCCCCAGAGATTCTGCACCCTGGGAACAGGCACTTTTCTGGATCATGAGGCAGCAGTGCACCCGTGTAGCGACAAAGGCTGTGCTGGACAGAGCGCAGCCACCATGTGAGAGGAGCAGACTATGGGTTCTCCACCCCTCAGGATGCTTCAAATCTCGACAGGACAAGAGAGCTCTGAGCAACCTGGTCCAGCTCTGGGGTTAGCCCTACTCCCAGCAGATGACTGGACTAAAGGCCTCCAGCAGTCCCCTCCCACCTAAACCCTGCTGTGTTTCTATGCCAGAACTAGCTGGAGATGTGTTTCCTGGAACATCCTTGGATCAACACTTGCAGGACAAGTTTATGACAATTTTATCTACAAATGGAAGGACAAGTTACCTGCAGTCTTTCTCAAGAAAAGCAGAAATAACAGCTTCTGACCAGTGACAGAGACACCAATTACTTGTTCAGTACTAGAAAAACCTGACATCAAAATACCTTCCATTAGCCTAGAAGCCAAGCCAAATCACAGCTTTTAAGTAAGAAATAAAGCTATACATATTCTTACAAAAAGGAAATAATATTACTTAGCGTTCTTGTAAGAAACAGACATTGTGAGGTAAAAAAAATATGCAGACTTCATCACCCTTGCACAGGGAAAAACAGCCAGCCTTTTTCTGTCATGAAGTTCATAAAGCACTAATTTAAATTCAGTCTTTGGGGTCCAAATGAGGTCATAAAATTACTGCCTTCTCCACAGACTAGCTCATGAACTGAGAGCAAACAGATAACCTCTTCCAGGAGAAAGGCATTGTCATTTAAAGGACTCCTACGGCAAAACGTCAACAATTCAGCTGAGCTTATTGAGTCCCCAGTATTACTCATCTGATACATTTAAGTCACAATCCACATTTTATTTGGATTTGTCCTTGCTGTGTTCCTGTAAAACACAAAGAACTCTGACATAGTATGCAGTCTTTGTGGTATTCATAAATTTTCCGTTAGGACAGACAACTACTGCCCATGTCTGACAATGATTTTCATTGTCTTCTGCTGAGTTTACTATTGCCAAAGTTCTCCGAGGCAGGGGGCAGGGAGGGGAGAACAAATAATTACCCATTTGCTAGGACTACAGAGTCATGACTGGGCTATTTGTTGACAGTCAGCTCAACTACACATCCCCCCAGAAGAACCTACATTACCTGTACAGCCCCAGAGCCACAAAAAAAATCACATGTCTCTCTTGGAAAGCCTACAGACATACCTTGCACAGAAGCTTTCAGTAACTCAATCTTATCCATTAAGCCTGCAGTCCTAATATCCACACCTGCACCCTCTAACTGTGAATTGCTTATATCAGCACCCCAGTAACAGGCTTCCTGTTGAGAGAAAAAGAGAAAAGTCATTTTGCTGACAGCTGGGTGAATTTATTTTATAAACCCTTCTCAGAACTGCCTTGTTGCACACCCTTTCCTGGGATATCTACTGGCATTACACAGAGCAATACACAGACCCAGAAGATGGAGGAAGGAGGGAAGTCTGTGCTATCTTCACTCCTTTCATGTCCTGGTCTGCTCCAGGCACTCTGAACTTAAAGAAAAATGAGGCTATGTCCTAACAGCAAGACCCCAGCTAGCTACAGACAGCAATGCTGCCTCTAATACTGACACCAACTGTACTGTCCTGCTGACATCTCTCCATTCCCAGGAGAAGCCCAGGTAGTTTTAAGAGTCCACGGTTGCTCCTAAAAACCCTGGGGTATAAATTCAGGGCTCCCAGCACCCACTGGCACAAATATTTAGGACTTGGTTAGCACTCCTGTGGGGGAAAGTTTTACCAACTGCCTAGAAAGATCAGTTGGATTCATGCTTTTCAGTAATGGAGTTTGTTGTAACTGTGGCACAGATTTCTCTTGATGCAACTACAATCCATCTTGCAAAGGTCCTGCCTGTAGCCACTGTGATACTCACAGGCCACTCTTTGGCAGCTTCCAGCAGTATCATTCCTAGCCCACACATGGGATCCAGCACAAAGGCACCTGCCTACAAACATAATGGGGTTATTGCATCCCAAGCAAGACAGACTCCTCTCCCAAAACAAGCTTTCTCAGGGATGTACACATCGCCTACACATGCCCATGAATTCAGAGTAACAATGATCACCAGTTTACCAGGCCAAACTTGCTTGGAAGAGAATATAGAAAGAATCATTCCTAGTTTCACTAAACACAACGCATCCAGCCTTGAGGTGACATGTAGAGGAAAAAAAGTTAGGAGCAGACTGCAGAAGGATATTGGTACCAAATTAATCCATGGAAAAGATCACACTTGCTTCTGGTTTCCCTTGGGAAAACAACTCAAAAGAAGGTTTGAAGCCTGGCCAGTGAAAAAATCATGCAAAGTAGACTGATATCTGGACAAGGAGTAACACTTCTTCTGAGAAGAACCCGGGATTACAGCAAGTATCTGGTTGAACAGGAGGTGACAGCACACTCTGATCACAGACAAGGCAAAACCCCCATACACATGCATCAGAGCAAAGGGCATTAAAATCACCATTCTTCCTCAAAGCTTCCGGCTCCAACCCTGATAAGCAGCAACACCCCCTTCAACCAAGACTCTATTTCTTTGCCATGAATATCCACTTACACTGATTTCAGTCAGAGATGCCATGGCCCATGAAATTGTTGACCGCAGTCCTGCTGTTCTGATATACTCTCTGTTTGCTAATGGAAGTCTGCAAACAGGAAAAAAACCAAAACACTACACTTTAAAACAATAGTACAACCACAAGGAAAGCCCATGTAATATGAAAGAAGAAATGAACTGGACAGATCTGCAGACAGATAGAAACCAGTCTGCTTTTATCCACAACTTAACCACAAAGTCTGGCCTACATGCTCAGATAAGCTCCAGACAGACCACAAGACTAATGTGGCAGTCCACTGAATATTAAATCAGAAAATAATTACTCACAGTGGACAGCAAGACTATTTAGAAACGATGCCTGTTCTGACACTACCAAGACAAATCTGGTGAGGAGAATGCCTACCTGAAAAGACCCAATCCCTACCACTGAGTAAATGTCATTAAGATAATCTGATCCTAGTTTTTAACAACAAAAATATACGCTTAAACAACTATGATCAGTGGGAAGAAATCACACAAGATAATCTGAGTGCCACTTTAAAGAGGATTTACTGTTTAACCAAGCTGGGAGGGGAATTTTGTCAGCCAAGAATCCAACAACATGCTCCTGAATCTTTACAGAACCAATTTTTGTAACACTGAATGAATATTTTTTATTATAAAACCATTTACTCTAAGCAGGAGAAGATTATACCAGCACTCAGCTATTCAGATACCCCCCTCCTTTTAAAGAAAAATCCAAACACAAAACCAATTAAAAAACCTCATGAGCACCACTAAGTGGCATTTCAGATGGAAGGCAAATGTGTGTAATCCTTCCAGAAATACAAGCAGCTCAAATAAATTGTCCTCCTGTCCTATAGGCGCATCCCCAAAAATGACTGAGCTCCCCAACAGGTCTTGCATGACTGCAATCCCTCCCCAGGAAGCCAAAAGAAAAACGCTTTTGCAATATCCTAGTCCTCAGGATGTGAATGGTTTCAGAGCAAAAATCTGGACAAGAGCCCCACTTGAAGCTCAACAAAGCTGGACTTAATGAACAGCCTGGGAAAACCAAAGCCCGTAGATGAACTCAAGAGTTTTTACAGACAGCCTCAGACCTCCCAGCATTGGTGCAGAGAGCAGCTTCCATATACAAAGCACAGGGATGGAGAAAAGAGCAATGAGTCTTTTCCAAGGTCTCCAGACAGCTAGCATCAAGCTCCTTGCCAGGGTCAGAGTCTAGGAGGAGGCTCTTCCATGAACAGCATGCACAAGTCCAGTTCATTAAGGACATAACCTTCCTACTCACTCTCTTCCCCTACAGAGTCTAAAAAAGCTTCCCACTGGCTCAGGTGATCTCCATTTCCAACACAGAATCCAGCAGATGCTGAGACATCTCCTGTATGGATCCTTCCCGACGTACAGGCCGACACTGGCCGTTCTGGTATTTCAGTGCTCTCAAAGGCACACACACAGTGTCAACCAAAAAGCTTTGCTCAGCGCTATCAGATGATTTCTAGTTAAATTCAGCACCCAAAAACCAAGAAGAGGCCACAGTCCCGAGTGCAAAGGGAGCAGAGGACAAAACAAAATATATCAGGGGCAATTCTGGAAGCATCAACAAGCTGTCTGGCAGACAAGCACCACTACCTCTAGACTGGGGTCCCACAGATCAGCCTGCCACCCAAACTGCTTCATGAGCGCTATGCCAACGGCTCTTCCCATCTCCTGCAAGGGGGAAGAACAGTCACAGGCAGCAAAATTAACAGAATGAAGAAAACTACAAATCATAGCCTTTGACTGCACAATCCTCAGAAACACCTGGGAAAAAAAGAAAGAGCCTCTCTCTACCCCAGAACAACTCATACAAACACCAGAAGTAGTACAACAGGGCACAGAAAGTGAGCGAGGGGCAGAGAGCAAACACCACAGGACAAAATGACTGTCACTCATCAGCAGTGTGGCTGAAGTTCAAGTCCTGCCCAAGTTACAACAAAACCTTTCACTGTTTTATGAATACATATGATGCACAAAATATTTCTGATGTCTGTAAACTGGATTACCCAAAAGAATATCTGTGAATGCACAACTGCAGCTCACAATTTTAATGCTTTTGTGGCATCCAGCTCAGACTACTGACTTGCAGAAACACGACTCTACAACCGTGGAGTTGTAGTAGGTAGGTTTATTCAGCGCTGGGCGCATGGGGGATCACTCCACCACAAGCATGCGCACCCTTTGTAGCTCTAGTCCTGCTTATATATTCCAAAATAATGCATATTCATAGAATGCTTATACATATACATAATATATCCCCGCCTCCCCTCGCTTCTCATGGTAATCAGGTCTCCTCCTCTTGCGTCTGCACGTTGAGCTCCTTTGGTCCTGGGTGGTGGTCGCAAATTCCCGGGCAGGGGTCATACAGATGAAGTATCTCCTCTTCCTTGCTGATGAACTTTTTACCCTGTCCTTCTGCACAGTCTCAGTTGTTCCCTGGCCCCTGGCCAAACCGCCAGGCCAGTTTGTGCTGGAATTTGGGGTAATCTATTGCTGACACATATACTTTAAATGACCAGAAGAAGCCTCTGTTCAGGCCAGAAGATAGTAGCCTAGCAACACTACCAGTATCCAGCATGTCTATGCACACAGCCCCCAGCCTTGCACAGGCCTAAAGTTCGATCTCGCTGCATCCCCTAAACTTCCCATATCACTACCTTCACAGTATGAGAGTTCAAATGCACAGCACGAATTTAAGCAAACATTGGCAGGCTCATGTGTCCCACCTTCCCAAGGTACTAGCTTGAGTAAGGGGAAAAAAAAAAAAAATCTAGTTAAACTACTGTTAACTTCAAGTAAGAGAAATCTACATAAATTACAGTTACACAGGGTTGGTTTGTGTTTTTTTTATTTATTTTTCTCACAGTAGAAGGGTATTATAGATGGGAAGAGGGCTGGATGGAAAGTGTGCCTGGAGGTCTCTACACAACCACTCTCTCCCAAGGACCAAGATCTAACCCCTACTGCAGGACACATCCCAGGGCTGCACCACCCTCCTGGAGAACAAATTCTCCCCAATACCCAAGGAGAGCCCACCAAAGCTGCAAAGATTTGGTTTTGTGCTTTCTTTTCCACCCTCTGACACAACTGAGAGGAGTCTGCCTCCATTACCCTTGCAATGACCCTTTAAACAGCTGTAAGTTACTATCAGATCACCCCCCCAGACTCTACAGGCCCAGCCACCTCAACCTCTTATCTGTACTTAGGCTCAATAAAAGACATCGATTTGAAAGAATTTCTGGGCACTATTACCCTGAATAAACAGTAGCCGTTGTATTTCCACTTGTTCAAGGGTAATGCAGGTTAAGGGCTTTTTTTCGAGAAAATACAGGAAAAGGCTAGATCTGTTTGTTATTCTAAAACACACAAAAATGACAAACTACACATCTCCCTTCACCTTTGCCAAATGCTTTTAAAACACAGATACTTTAGCATACCTGTGAATGAAGTATTTTGGCAACTGCTCCACTACAACGACAAGAAACTCTGAAACTAAGCTTCTCATTCACAACAGGCTTCTCTCCACTGCTTTTAGAAGGGTCTTCTAAGGAAGTCTTACTTTCAGCCCAGCAGTCTTGATCAATCTTTCTCTCTGGCAACACATACCTCTCCGCAGCTTCCGCCTGACATTCTTCAGACATAGTCTGTTCCGTTTTCTGCTTTTAGTGGCAGTTTTTGTCTCTTCTTGTGATCTTCTCTTGAGACATATAATTTTTTTTCCCCCCTCGCACCCATGAATGTTTTTCCAAATAGAGAGAACATCCAGCCAATACTTTGGTTCATCAATGACAAGGCTTTTAATCTCATGCAGCATTTTCCCTGGAGGAAAAAGCAGTTTCAGGTTAAGGAATTCAGATTTGGTATGGATTCAGAACACCTGTTAACACAGACTGTGTTCAGATTGCATTAATATGCAAATCGAGGAACCACCGCAGTGGCAGACATCACAGACACATCTGAGTTCTCAACACCCACATACATCACCCGCAGAGACGCATGTATCCCTCTGATTAGAAGCTCTGTAGAAGCAAGATTAATCTGTGCAGGGATTGAACTCTGCAGCTCTTGAAAACCAGACCAGCTCTGAGAGCCATTCCCAGGGACACAGGACCAGCCATCCTCCCCAGAAAGCATTCGGTCCAGGATTAGAGATGTGAGACACCTTCCAGGATTGAAAGACAGACACAAATTTGAATCACTGATAGAGCTCAGAATAAAAGCCACAAGTTTATTTTTTATAAAGGAAATCTCTCCTTGCTATTCACCAACCCACCTTCAATCCTGCAAAGTCTCCAACACACACCTAAAATTATACCTGTGGGGGTAGTCCTCTTAGGCTACATATGACAAGAGAGGCATGAGGACTACTGAGGCTAATTCACTTAAGAACCTTGAAGCTGGTCAAGGCAGAAAAAATAAAAGTATTTCAAAATCTCATTTTAAATTTTAGAATCAGTTAAATTCGATCCTCAAAGCTGAAGGCCATCTGTGATCTCACAGGTAAAATCCCACCAGCAGGTAGATATCAATCCACCTAACTTAGAAATTCTTATTCCAACACTGACAGAGAACGTGACTCAACTAGCTGAGATTACAAGGTATCTGCATACTGAACAGTTAAGTGACGATCACAGGATACACATCTCTATCCACTTTGCCTAAAAAAAAAAAATTACTCACTGCTAGAATGCACACAAGGGGTCCAGAACTAAACTTCTGTTTCAAGGTGAGGTGGGATTTTTTGTTGAGGTTTGGGGTTTTTTTTGTAGGTACTGGTGTTACACAAATACATGCACAGTGCCAGCAGAACACACGCAAGTAAGATAACTAGTTCAAACAGTTTTAAAGGCATGTGCAGCACTAGAAAAGCACTGAATACTTATCTGAATGAAAGACACTTCAGAATTGATTACTGACAATTAGAACCACAGATGTTCGTAAATAAATAAACCAAGCATTAGTTTTACAAACAGGACTCGAACTGGGGCTTCCTGTTTCTGCACACACACGTCGTGAGCAAACTGGAGGGGATGACCTGAGGCAAGGAGTCAGTGACGCATCTTTATTTCTAGAAACTGCAAGTGGGGGGTGGTTTTTAAGCAGCAAAAACAGTCGCTCTCCAGATTTGAGTTTCCTCAGCTTGCCCAGCTCCGCCTCTGTGCTGAAGAAGGCTTTTCCTGAGACGCAGTCCGCCCCAGGGGGACAAACAGAAACCAAACCCAACCAGGAAGGTGTTTTGGGTGAGCACCTGAAGCAGCCTCTCACACCCGCTCGCACCTCCACGGGAGGAGGGTAGCGAAGGCCGCGGCTCATCGAGGGTGGCGAGGGGACAGCCCGACTGAGGCAGATGCCCCTGCCCACTGCAGGGACAGGACCACACGGTCATTATGGTCCCTCCGTGACCGAGGCCAGACCCCGGGGCCCCACGCAGCTGACAGCGCAACCCCACGCCGCAGCCGCCTGGCTCCGCGACGCAAAGCAAACAAGGTCTTGTTCCCCACAGTCCAGACCCGGCCCGCCCCAAGTGAGCGCCGGCTGCCCCCCTCACC